ACCCAGGTTGTACATATGTACAAAAAAACATGTATATAAATAAATAAAACATTAAGCCTCAGATTGACATTTTTTCAGTCAATTATAACTCTTTTTTATATAATACAATAAAGACTTAAGCATCATAACTATTTCAGACACTGCAAAATAAACTACAATAACTTTCTTATCACGTTCAACATGAATTCTCGAATGTAGATTAGAAACGTTTACAGCACACCACGACGATTACGTACGTTGTACAAGAGACCTGCTGTTCTGATTTATATCCTGGTTGTGATGGGACGCTGTAAAGCTGTAAAAAAAGTCCTCATTCTAAAACATTTTTACTAAGGTTATTATTGAAAAAAATCAAAACCAAACAGCCTTATATCTCCAAAATGTAGGCAAAGTAAAATCCCTCAACGTTTCGCCAATTCAGCCATCATTAGGACAGAAGTACAGCTAATAGAACATCACTCCACTAGCGGATCCAGGATTTATTTTTGGGGGGGGCTTCAGCCCGAAAGGTTTTTTTTTTCATAAAAATAACGATAATTACTTTGGAAAAAAAGAAAGAAACTAACTACCTGTATGAAATGGTGTTTAAGTTATTCCTAAAGCCCTTTTAAATGTAATTACACGAATAATAATACTTTAAGAGATACTTTTTAAATTTTTTTTTTCGATAAAACGTGGTTATATTTTACCATTTGGGGGAGGGCTTCAGCCCGAAAGTCTTCCCCCCCCCCCCGTAGATCCGCCCGTGCATCAATCCATGATATCCAAAACCATACAGTTATATAAGAGTATGTAGGCATATTTATAAGACATAAGGGAGTGTGGTTTGGAATTTTTCTAATGATAACATTCATGTTCTGTCTCTTGATTAGTTTGTTACTAAGTTATAAAAATTTTTTGATCACAAATTTAGTTTGATGTTCATTTTTTATGTTTGGTACATAAAAAAAAAAGAAAAACTCTCTTTTAGGTTATTTTAAAATCGGAGCGGACGGAAATTGTTAACAGGCAGATTGGCCAATCAACTTACCACTCCTGATAGATGGGCGAATAATGCCGGTATTTCGCGGTTCATTTTGCTGAGTTCGGTTCCCCGAGCGATGATGAAGGATAAAGCGGTAAAGATCCAACCCAAAGGGAATACAAAATTGAAACAATGAGAAGAAGAGTGACAGTTAAACAGTTCATAAAGCTAAATTACAAAACGGGCGGCAGCTGGGAAGTTTAATTTTCTCTCTTTATTACAAACTCCGTAACTAGAAATGATTACAGCCCTTCAGGCGACCAATTAAACCATAATACAGACCTTCTTGGGTTACAATGTTTTCATCTTTTATTAAATATACTCTTTTTTTTTCTTATTTTTTTCCTTTTACTATAACTTTTATAATGGTTTTATTTAGATATATCGAGATTAACAAACAAAATAAAAATATTGAAATAATTTTATTTCTCATATAAAAACTCTCGTGTTTATTATTTTACTTAGCCTGATTAAGGTGTGATAAAAGACCGAAACCGGTTACGCAAAACTGAAAAATAAATGAAATATACAGGAAGACGTCGTCTTTTTTTGTAAAATTACATTATTATATTTTCATTATTCTGAAACTTTTGTTGTTTACACTTGATACAATGAATAAGATCGTGATCGTAAGTGTTGAATATAAATTTCCAATTCTAGAAAAACTAAAAACCAGATACATCATAATAAACTCCAGACCAATTCGAACTCACTTTTTTCTAACCTTGCTTCTTCCTCCTCTGCTTATAATCCAACTCGACAAAGATTTGTTCATGTTATTATTTTTGTTTCCTTTTACCATTTAAAGTTTCTTTTTAATTTGTTGTGAGTTCCATTAAATAAAATTTTTAAAAATAATTACCTATACTCAGATGTTAGTTCTTACTTCTTTTTTTCTCTACTATTAATATAATTTCATTTTATATACTTCTAAATACCTAAACTTTATTGTATATTTCCCTTTATTGCCCTGAATAACGACTAGAGTAAATTGCGGCCGAGCGTCATTTAAAAATTTTTATATTTTTTATAATATTATATGTTGTTAATTTTATTATCGTCTACAGTTTTCTCAATGATTGTTAAAATAGTCAATTATTGAATGTGCAACATTATATTTCAGGCTTGGTGAGAGCATTTTCCAAGAACATTACTGCTGAGTACACTAACGAAGAAAGTGTGCTTAGGGTATACGATTAAGTAAGACAATGAGGGAACAATGATGTATGGAAGGACGTAGGAGAGGAATATCATTAATCACAAACATAATGATGATTCATCATAGGCTGAAGTTTCATGGGACCGGCGAAGCCTTTATTGATTCCAGTGAATGGCGGATCATCCTCGTGCGGTATGAACATATTTGACATCGTCGTGCGAGGCAAATTATATAGAGCAGTCATACGACGTACATCAGGGAAACATGTTTATTCGAATATAAAATATAATATTATCAATACTTGTTCTAAAATAGCGTGAAAAAATTGATTGTCAAATCTTACAAACAAATATTGCACCATTGGCCTCCATCATGAATTAGTTATTTTTATAATCTGGATACTTTTGAGAAACTTCTGTGAAAATTCAATTGCAATAGAAATGTAAAAAATTATGGCTTCAAGTGAAAATTTTTGTCTTAAAAACGAAGATGATTTGGCTTTAAATAGACTTGTTAAATCATAGTTCTTGTTCATTCAATCGGCCGCGGTTTACCAATGTCAAATTTTGTCAGTGGTATTGACTATCTTTTTTTCAAGTTATTAACATTCTCCTAAAATCTTGTGATTAGCTTCATCTCTTCGTAACCTATAGATATTTTATCTGCAACAATTTTCGGAATTGGAGCGTATTCAATCTTAAAATCGGCAGAATTAATCTATCAACGAGGTACTAAAATCTCATGAATACCCATTTTCTTTCTACTTGAATCTTAAGTTAAAATGATCACAAAATCAAAACCAAAAATATTAGGCCGTTTGGCCTGTATAATCTCGTTATTTTGACATTTCGGAGGACTTCGTTTCTTTGAGACACTTCGTTCCTGAACTTCTTGCGATTTCGAATATTCATTGGTTGTAAAGAGAAAACTAGTCGTTTTTCGTCTCGTGTTTAATTTTCCAATTAATGAAATCAACTCTACGTCTCTCCCTATCTGTAATTCGGTGGCATTGTAGCTTATTTCAGTTGTGCTGATTTTGCAATTGTCTGGAGGTTTCGATTGTTTTGAAGGCTGTTCAATATTATATTCCCACTTACCACTCTCTTCTTTCAAGTGCCGCCTGGCTGGAAGTGCTCGCCACTTATTAGAAATTTAAAAAAAGGTACAAAGTGTATAAGAAAAATTTATTTTAGTCTATAAATAAAGCTTATTGATACTGCAGTATATGTGTAAAAAGCTTGATACATTCTATATTTACATGAGCAGCTTTCATTAAGTTTTTTCGGTAACGACAAAATCTCAATAACCTTCACTTGTAACTTACAGTTGTTTACACCATGTTGCAGGTTTTTAAATTACAGATTTTTACAAAAGGCCATAAGGAAGAATTGAAACATCATAGATTTCATTTTGTGAAATCAAAATATGTATGCGCCAGGACAAGATTGGTAAGGAAAGCTCAAAACTCCATTTTCCAAAGAAATGAGCCTTTTGAAGCGTGGCTATCGATATATATTTATAATCTCTGTTTGTTGCGAAAAGTCATTAAGTGATATTTCATAAATAACAATGATATCGATTAATTTTCCTGCAGGAAAATCGTAAAGTTTCCCGCTTATTGTAAACAAGTTTGTTTTGTGAAAGGGTTTGTGTCATTGTAATCGCTTATAATGTTGTTTTTTTTTATCAATAAATAAGTTCATTTTTATATTCACTAAAACGTTTTCAAGAATTCAGCTCCATTATAATAGTGATACTTTTTAATAAACTGACGATTTATTCTAGACTCAAATAGTTTATTGTTTTAGATTACCTATTCCGTATGATTGTTCAAAATTAAGCACAGAATCTTCTCTTAGGTCAACGGAACTACGAAGATGAAGGGAGCGCCTCTCGCCTCATGAAATACGTGCTAGGTATCCCATAGCTGGGAGCGAATCCCAAGTCTAATAACACAGTTTTAGGCTGGTACTGATGCACTCAGGAAGAGCGGTGTCCTCAGAGGAATCGAGTAAGGTAATAGCCCAGCACTCAAGGCGGCAATGGCTGGAATTACTCTCTACTTTCACGCCCCCCAAACAGGCTATTCCTTCGTGTTCCTTCTCTTATGTTCTTGTAATTCTTTTATAAATTATGATATTACTCTTTAACTGTATTTTCACGTTTTA